ATACAGAGTCAAGTATTCCCTCTCCACCTGCACTAAGAAGAACTGAGAGACAGATTACTAAACCCAAATATCTTGAGGATTATGTTCTTATGGCTGAAGAAGAAGGAGAGTCTTTGTTCTTGTGCTTGAATAATGAACCAAGAACTTTCTATGAAGCAAATAAAAGCAAAGATTGGATACAAGCTTGTGAAGACGAGATTGGCTCCATAGAAAAACATAAGACATGGGATTTAGTATATTTGCCTACAGGAGCTAAACCAATTGGTTTAAAATGGGTTTTTAAACTCAAGAGGAATTCTGATGGAAGCATAAATAAACATAAGGCTCGTCTTGTCGCAAAAGGATATGTACAGCAGTATGGGGTTGATTTTGAGGAAGTCTTTGCTCCAATAGCAAGAATTGAAAAAATAAGACTCCTCATTGATCTAGCAGTCTCACACGGGTGGGAGATACACCATTTAGATGTTAAGACAGCTTTTTTGCATGGAGAGCTTAAAGAGACTGTATTTGTTAATCAACCAGAAGGTTTTGAGAAGAAAGGAAGTGAGACTAAAGTATATAAGCTCAATAAAGCACTATATGGTCTGAGACAAGCTCCGAGAACTTGGAACAACAAGTTGAATCATATTCTTGGTGAATTACAGTTTAAGAAATGCTCAAAGGAGCCATCAGTCTATCGAAAAGAAATCAAGGAGCATCTACTTGTTATAGCCGTATATGTTGATGACTTATTTGTTACAGGGACTAGTTTGGATGTCATAAAAGGGTTTAAGGAGGAGATGTCTTCAAAATTTGAAATGAGTGATCTAGGGAAATTGACATACTATCTTGGCATCGAAGTCATTCAACATAGTGATGGAATAGCATTGAGTCAGAACAGATATGCTCTTAAAATTCTAGAAGAAGCTGGTATGAAGGAGTGTATTTCAGTTCGTATACCTATGGATACGGGCTTTAAAGCATCAAAGTCAGAACAGGAGAAGGAGGTTGATGCAACTATCTACAGAAAGAATGTCGGGTGTCTCAGGTATCTTTTGCATACAAGGCCAGATTTGAGCTACTGTGTTGGAATATTGAGCAGATATATGCAGAGTCCACGTGAATCACATGCTGCAGCCATGAAACAGTGTCTGCGTTATTTGAAAGGTATTACTACGCTTGGTATAATGTTTAGCAGGTCTAAAGAGGTACCAAGGCTAGTAGGTTACAGTGATAGTTCTCATAATGTAGACCCTGATGATGGAAGAAGTACAATGGGTCATATATTTTATCTTGGGAATAGTCCTATATCTTGGTGTTCTCAGAAACAGAACGTTGTAGCACTATCATCTTGTGAAGCAGAATTTATGGCAGGAACAGAAGCTGCAAAACAAGCTATTTGGCTTCAAGATTTACTCAGTGAGATTGCTGGAACGCCAAATGAAAAGGTTACTATCCTCATTGATAATCAATCAGCTATAGCTCTCACAAAGAACCCGGTTTTTCACGGTAGAAGCAAACATATCCATAGAAGATATCATTTTATCAGAGAATGTGTTGAACATGGTCAGATTGAGGTAATGCATGTTTCCGGTGAAGAACATAAAGCAGATATATTGACCAAGGCTCTTGGCAGGATCAAGTTTAGAGAAATGAGAGAGTTTATTGGAGTGCAAGAGGTGGTGAAAAGAGACTTCAAGCTTAAGGAGGAGATTGTTGGTTTAAGCTTGAATGAGACTAAACCGGGAGATTGCTTGAGTCATAAGTAACCGGTTTAGTAAAGAGATAAGAGAAGATCTTTAGGAGTTATCTAGAGATTTATGTTAATCTTGAATGAAGATTCTAATCGTGTTAGGATTAGGTCATGAGGGTTTTTCTTATATAAAGAGATATTGAGTTGTAATATCCTTTAAGAGTTGTATGAGAAGTTTGAGAGGTTAAGAAAACTTTAGGTTTGAGGAATTTCCTAAAGAAATAAAAGAGAGCAATTCTTTTGTTTGAGTTCTTGATCTAAGCATTGAAACTATAATTGTCACGGTCAATCTGCCACAAAACAAACTTAGGAGAACTTGAAGTGTTGATGTGCAATCTCTCATTTCTTTGTCTCCGAAGAAAGAAAATTGTTGCTTGTATAATGAGAAAGACAAACCTCAACACTTCAAGTTCTCACTCAACTTTGATTTATTTATCTTTTCTCTTTGTCGTGGTTCGTTTTGGCTTTCTTTTTTCTATAACCTGAATGCAATGTGATTTAGGATCCCATTGGTTAGGATTGTATATGTTTTGTAATATTTAGGGTACATATATAGACTTTTATACTAGAATTTTATTATTATATTTTTAAAAAGTCTAGAGCATCTAAAATTATAATAATTGTTTCTATGGAAATAGAAAATATAAACACAAACATATGTATGGCCATAGTGAGTGTGTTGTGTCAACAGAAATAGTTTATAAAATTAAACACAAAGTTTTGTCGTTATGGAAATTAATGTGCATGCAACCACAAGTGGTGCGTTACTAAATAAGGTAGGGCTTCGTGGATAGAGATGGATCAATTATTTATTTTCACGAGTTTCTTGCCTTCATCTCAGCCAGCTCTCTCTCCTGATCTTGCCTTCAATTTTATTACTGTTTTTTACTGCCACTTGCTATATTTACTTACTTCGGACAAAATAGTGCTTTGATGGTAAAGTAAATATATACCATCGGTATATGATGTCCCGCGACTGATTATCAAACTTGAACAGTGAGTGGATCGAGTGTATTTGTTTTTATCCTTTTTTGATTCGCGACTTAATATAATCTATTAGGGTATCTTGGAATTATGCGGGTGAAATGCGCATTTATATCTATCATAGAAATTGGAATCTTCACTATCCAACTAGTATATTCCATTTTCTTGCAACTACGTATAAGTATAACTACATTCTGTTTGTCATATATTTAAGATCGAGTAATAAAAAATTAATTATCTACATTGATGAGAACCAGACAAGACTTCCATTTTTTGTTGTTAAAGAATGTTGATACGTATAGATACACATTTAAAAAAAAAAGTATTTTGATACATTTACCAAAGAAAAAAAAAGTATGTTGATACGTTCCATTTCCACACAACAAGATGGACAAAAATATATAATGATTGTAAGACGATAAGACCCCGACGTATTATCACGCAAAAAAAAAAAGTTATTGATTTTCTATAAACCAACACAAGTTTAACTAAGAGTATTTAAACCCAAAAAAAAATTAAGAAAATTTAACGAAATCTTTTTTAGAGAAATTGTTAAAAATGCTCATTTTTCAATACACCTTTTCAAAAATGCTACCTTTGAGAGTCTATTTTTAAGTTTGCCCTCTTTTAATTTTTAATGACCATTTTACCTTTATTTAAAACAAAATTAGATCCACAAAATACAAAATATTTTTTGGCGGGAAAAGTGATCCCGCAATTTTCCCGCCAAAACACTTGTAAAAACCTTTAAAATACCTTGTAAAATTTTCCCGTAAAAACTTTTCCCGCCAAAAAATTTTTTTGCGGGAAAAGTGATTCCGCAATTTTTTTGGCGGGAAAAATTTACAAGGTATTTTAAAAGTTTTACGGAGTATTTACAAGTGTTTTGTAAGGTTTTACAATGTATTTTAAAAGGTTTTACAAGGTACTTATAAGGTTTTATAAGGTATTTATAACTTGTAAAACCTTATAAAAAATTTGTAAAATCTTATAACTTGTAAAACCTTATAAAATAGCTTGTAAAATCTTATAATATCTTATAAATACCTTATAAATACGTTGTAAAACCTTTTAAAATACATTGTAAAACCTTATAAATACTCAGCAAAAAACCTTTAAAATACCTTGTAAATTTTTCCCGTCAAAAATTTAACGCCAAAAAAATTGCAGAATCACTTTTCCCGCAATAAAAAATTTTTGGCGGGAAAAAATTTTACGGGAAAATTTTACAAGGTATTTTAAAGGTTTTACAAGTATTTACAAGTGTTTTGGCGGGAAAAATTGCGGGATCACTTTTCCCGCCAAAAAATATTTTGTATTTTGTGGAGCTAATTTTGTTATATTTCCTTATATATTTGTGATATCTTTTATTAAAAGAATGGTAATTTAGTCATTTTATACATAAAAAGAGGTATTTTTAAAAATGGACAGCCAAAGAAGCATTTTTGAAAAGGGGTATTGAAAAAGGGGTATATATGTGAGTCTCCCTCTTTTTTAATGGAATTTTGTTGGAACATATCTCTAGTTTTGCTTATTTCGTTAAACATTTGTCGTATACTGTGTTCTAAAACTGCACAAACATATTGTGAAAAGTATTACAATATTGTTTGCAACTTCATCATCAACATTAAAGGTAGTAACTATAATTTTATTACAATTATAAGTTAATAAACATATATATTATTTCTATCGTGATAGCTAGTCCAATATATAGGTTATTGACATACATTTAATTAATTGTGCAAACAATCATGAATCATAACCTGAAATCTATAAATATCGTTTTCATAGGTGTATTCATCTAAATTAGTTTATGCGTACATTGTGTAATATCAACATCACATGTATTTATATTGTCTCTTGTTAGATATTAACTATCCAAACCAAGACTATAATATGAAATCAACAAAAACATATATCATTATGGTTCAAATTATCTCAAGTTGTATTCTTCTAAAGTATCACGAATTCACGATAATTACTCTAAAATCATAGTGGACTTAAGGCAAAACAAATCTAAAACAGTTTAACAAAGACACGGTATTAAATTTATAAGGACAAATTATTAATTTATTTCATATCCATAATCCATGCATGATGTTGGCCAATCACCTAGTATAGTAGTAAATTATAACCAAGCTTTTGACCAAATGAATAGGAGGAAAAAAAAGAACACTATATTGAATCTTTCTTTTTGAAATATTTTTCAGCATCACTTTATTTAGAGAATATTTTACCTTGGGTTTCACCAAATAGAATCCAACACTCTTACCATATGTATTGTATAAAGATGAGTCACTCCAAAAACCAAGATCATGACCCAAGTCAACCACTCTCTCTCATCATTCAGACACAGTACTCGACTTTAAAGACACTCTTTAAGACTTTCCATCAGGACCAAGCTGAGAAAGAGAAAGCAATAAAGAAAGAAAGAAACTAAAGAAAATAAAGCTTCAATACCAAACCTTCTTTAATAAATTTTGCCTTTTGGTTGTCTCCTCTTTATCAATCACTTTGGTTCCAGACTTTTAAAATCAGTTCATCACGATATCTAGATATGTCTTTGACAATGGCTGATGGTGTAGAAGCTCCAGGAGGAAGAAGTAAAAGACAAAACAGCTTATTAAGAAAACAACTTGCTTTAGCTGTAAGAAGTGTTCAATGGAGCTACGCAATCTTCTGGTCGTCTTCACTTACTCAACCTGGGTAAGTCTATAATCTAATCTTCTTATACCAAAAATATCAGATCTTGTTGTTCTCATCTTTGCATTGCCCTTTTCTTCTTTTAAATCTTGGGTTACATATATATGAGTACTAGTATGTTCTATATTTAGGGTTGTGGAGTGGGGAGAAGGATGTTACAATGGTGATATGAAGAAGAGGAAGAAGAGTTACGAATCTCATTATAAATATGGTTTGCAGAGAAGCAAGCAGCTTCGGAAACTTTATTTGTCTATGCTTGAAGGAGATAATGGTACTACTACTGTTAGTACTACTCATGATGATCACAATGATGATGATGATGATAATTGTCGTCACAGTACAAGTATGATGCTGTCACCAGATGACCTCTCTGATGAAGAGTGGTACTATTTAGTCTCCATGTCCTATGTCTTCTCTCCTTCTCAATGGTTTGTTCTCTCTAGCTTTCTCTCTCTATGAAATTTATTAGCTCTTTTGAACTATTCGTATATAAAAACCAATTTGCAATAAAGATGGACTGAGCAATATATCATGTCCTTTCTTTTTAAGATGAAAGATCCATCACTTTGGGTAAAAAGGTTTCATACCACCAATCTTGAATTTATATTTCAAAACCATTTGGTCATAGTGGAGAGTGATTATTCCTTTGGGATTCCTTATTGTTACACTTTCACCTTTTTTGCATTTGAAGTACAAATCTTATATTAAGTTTTTCTTAGGATCATTAATTAATGTCTTTTGGCATTTTTGGTTTGTCTATGTACGCCTAGTTTGCCTGGACGAGCTTCAGCGACGGGTGAGACCATATGGCTCTGCAATGCTCAATACGCGGAGAACAAGCTCTTCTCCCGTTCTTTGTTAGCAAGAGTAAGTTCTCATAACCTTCTAGTTTCTTCTTCTTGAATCTTGATATATATCCAGATCGAATCTGACAATAAATCTCTTTTGATCTTCTTTGCTTTTCATTACTGTTCATATGGCTTCTCTTCTTTAGAGCGCATCGATTCAGGTACTTTTCATATATAGTGTTCTCTTTAACTGGGTTCTGATTGTTAGAAATGAAAGTTTAGTTCTCTAATTGTTAGATTCGAAAAGTTCAGTGTATATATATCAATTTGGATTAATGCTTTAGAATGTGTTCTTATGTGTTTCTCCAGACTGTTGTGTGTTTCCCTTACTTGGGCGGTGTGATTGAGCTGGGCGTCACTGAATTGGTAACCCTCCATCTTTATATAAAAAGGTTTTGCTTTGGTTGCTTCCTTCGCAAGTATTAAATATACCTTAATTTGTTTTATTCTTTTTCATGAACAATGAAAGATTTCGGAAGATCATAGTCTGCTTCAACACGTAAAATCTTGCTTGTTGGAAATTTCTGCACACCAAGACAACGATGATGAGAAGAAAATGGGAATTAAGATCATTGAAGAGAAGCATCAGATTCCATTAGGTATTTCTGATGAAGACTTACATTACAAAAGAACCATTTCAACAGTACTCAACTACGCCGCGGATAGGTCCAGTAAGAACATCCATCACCGTCAACCAAGTACGGTTTCTTCTGATTCTGGCTCCAGTTTCTTGCGGTGGAAGCAATGTGAGCAGCCAGACTCGGGTTTTGTTCAGAAAAAACAGTCACATAATGTTTTGCGGAAGATATTGCATGATGTTCCATTGATGCACACAAAGAGGATGTTCCCAAGTCAGAAATCTGGTCTGAATCAAGATGATCCTTCGGATACAAGAAAAGAGAACGAAAAGTTCAGTGTCCTTAGAACTATGGTTCCCACTGTCAACGAGGTAATAACTCTTTTTTCTAAATCCTTAGACACAAGACTGTGTTTCAGAAACCAACAACTCTGTTTTGAATTCTTGTGCAGGTTGATAAAGAATCGATACTGAATAACACAATCAAGTACTTGCAAGAACTGGAGGCAAGAGTAGAAGAGCTAGAATCATGTATGGGATCAGTTAACTTCGTAGAAAGACAAAGAAAGACGCCGGAGAACCTTAACGACTCTGTGTTGATCGAAGAGACATCAGGAAACTACGATGATAGCACGAAGATCGATGGTAATTCAGGAGAAACCGAACAAGTCACTGTTTCCAGAGATAAGACACATTTGAGAGTTAAACTCAAAGAAACAGAAGTTGTGATCGAAGTAAGATGTTCTTACAGAGACTACATAGTTGCAGACATCATGGAAACTCTGAGCAATCTTCACATGGATGCTTTCTCTGTTAGATCTCACACACTTAATAAGTTCCTCACATTGAATCTCAAGGCCAAGGTGAATTAATCCTGGAAGACCAACCTTCTTGATGTTTGGAAAAGACAGCTTAGGGTTTTCTTGACTTACACGTAACGTTTTTTGGGTTTATGCATGCAGTTTCGTGGGGCTGCAGTTGCGTCCGTAGGAATGATCAAGCGAGAGCTGAGAAGAGTCGTTGGTGATTTGTTTTAATGTTCTTCTTAGTAAAAATCTTATTGATCTTAAACTTTTGATGAAATGTTATATTTATTTAGACTTTCTTGAACCTATATGCAATGTGCCATTAACTTTACATCAAGCTTTCCGGGTTTTTGTATGTAAAGTTGGCGAAGATTTGGTTGGAATTTTCGACATTTATCTCTCTTATTAATACACTAAAGAAATAAGGTTAAAAATGGATTTTTATTCAGAAATTTGCATTGAAAATACAAAACGACACTCTTTGTGAAACAAAATTAAAACCTTAAAACGACACTCTTTTGTGAAACGGAGGGAGTACAATTTTTGTGCCGACATTATCATAATATAAGGTTTACCTTAAACATCAAGTAATTGACTTGGTCATCGTAGGCTTTTATGTTTAATGGGCTTTTTGGGCCGAAACAAACCCGTTTGATAAAAGAAGCTAACTCCCGCCGAAAACCCTAAACTTGTCTCGTAGCGTTTCTACCGAAACTTCTCCGTTTGAATTTCTCTCATTTTGTTGGAGCAAATCGACAGATCTTGAAGATTATATGTTTTGTTTTGACATTGAATATGTGAATATACGAAGAGATTTACAACGAAGGACTGGTTTTTCAGTGATGCAGACGCCAATTTCGTCAATGAGCAATACCTAGCTTGTAGTAAAACATTTTTTGAATTTTTCAATAATTTCTCTGTTTTAATTTTTTTCTATTCGTCCAGATTCTCTCACTTGTGTGTATGATATTCAGAATCTCAACTTCTTGATATTCAGAATCATTTGAGTTGTCATGGGTGATTTTGTGCTTCAGTTTCTTGCTGAATCCTAAATAAACGGATTGATATTTACTACCCGGAGGATAATGTAACTTAAAAAGGTATTTATTAGAAACTGTTGATTCTTTCTTGAATGCATAATTTATGGTGTTCTCTTGTATGTAACTCATAGAGCCTGCAAAGAAGTAGTAAATGTTATGGTGCATTATATATCTCCAATTGATGCAGCCTTCACGGTAATTATACCATTCACTACTTATTAATTAGTTTCTGAAAGTATTTGATTTTCTTGAATGTCACATATGAAGAGAGGATTATTGGAAGTATTTCTCGTTGATGCTCATGGAATCACACACACAAATTTTATTGGTGATTATAAATAAATAAACAAACTTTCCTCATATGGTATAATAATATTGGAAGTATTTCTCGTTGATGCTCATGGAATCATTTTGGTTGCAGGAAGTCCTGTGTATTATGTGCTCTTACAATGTGGGATAAAGGAATACCGTAGCAAAATGTCGAAAGGTTCCAGTTTTGTTACTCTTTAGTAAATTTATTTTCATTCTGAGCCAAATGTATATATGGAAACATTTTTGGTTCTTTTATGAAAACAGGTGATAATGACAATGCATTGTGGAACCAAAAGTTTGTTTTCGATTTCCCAATGTCTCAATGGAAGAAGCTGACCTACATCAAATTTAGAATCATGGACAAAGAGCTCTTCAAAGATGGTGGATTTGTCGGTGAAACCATGTAAGTTCTGCTTGCAGAAACTGAATTCGAGTGGTTTAGCATTATCAAGATATCAGATATAATACCATCCTTGTGTTTGTGACTCTTTTTGGTACAGAATTCATCTTGGAGGGATAATAACCGAAGGACGTGACAGAGGATACATGGAAATTAAACCAGCTCCATACAATGTTGTTCTTGAGGACGATACTTTTAAAGGTGAACTAAAAGTCGGATTGAGATTCATTGCAACGGTAAATAACTCGGTAACTATCCTACAAAATTGAATTTTATAGAACATATCATGATGAGAATCTTTGTGGTGACTAATTAATCTTAGGTTCATCTTTTTACTAGTACTCTTTGGTGTTTGAACACATTGAAATATTCAAGAACATCGATATACAGATATATATATATATATATATCTCGAAATTTCTCAAGAAAATCAATTTATTGTAGGATAAATTGCAGAGGAAAGCATGGGAACTGAAGATGGAGGCCAAAAACCGCGAAGAACCAATGGTTTCTCCAATTCTGAATCTAATGAAACTTCCTTTGCTAAGGTTTCTGCTCTATTGCTTTCGGAAAACAAACAAATATCAACTAAAAGAGAACTAAAATAATAAAAGGGTTAGCATCAAAACTCTGTTTTTTTCTGTCTTTTTTTCCAATAATTCTCTATAGTTACAAGCCGATTCGGATCCTATCAAGGACGAGCGATGACATTTATTTGATTTCTAAGTTTGTGCAAACATTTTAGGTTCATAGCTGCATGGGCAAGAAGGCAGTGTCTCATCAATGCAAAACTACTTTATTGTTTCGTCGACTATAAGCAATGTTCTTACTTCTTTATTTGTAGCTAGGGTTTCCCGATCAACCCTTTCACGGTATCGTGATGGGCAAGAATACGAAACTGTTGATGACTTTAATCTTTTTCACCTTAATCTTTAATGTAATAAATGTTCTGCATTTATATCTTTTGATGTAACATTTTTCTTACTTTCATTTAATTTCCCAACCAATATCATTTATAATTTTTGACTACTTGCATTGCATTGTCTTTAGTTCACTTTCTATTAACAAAAAGTTGTTGAATATGTTAGATATACATATATATTAAGTTTATTTTAAAAATAAGTAAATAAAGGTATATGTTGAAAATAGTTAATATATTGTATAATATCATATATAGCCCATAGTACACTAAAATAATGACCCAAAGATTAAGTAAATGCGTAAAATGCGTGTACTACGAGAAAATGGGACGCACGTCTGTCTCACGCACGAACCATGCAAATATATACTTGTCTTCTCCATTACATTAAGTTATCATGTGCTAAATTATATAACTATATAATTCAAATTGAAACTATAATACATTAAACAAATATAAGTATTAACCTATTATGAGTTGCGGTTAATCGTGTAGGCTACATGGGGATAAGCTAATCTCCAACCATGTGATAATTGGTCTAATTTAAGGGAGACTCACAAAAATGCCCCTTTTTCAATACCCCTTTTCAAAAATGCCCCCTTTGGCTGTCCATTTTTAAAAATACCCCTTTTTATATACAAAATGACTAAATTACCCTTCTTTTAATAAAAGATATCACAAATATATAAGGAAATATAACAAAATTAGGTCCACAAAATACAAAATATTTTTTGGCGGGAAAAGTGATCCCTCAATTTTTCCCGCCAAAACACTTGTAAAAAACCTTTAAAATACCTTGTAAAATTTTCCCGTAAAATTTTTTCCCGCCAAAAAATTTTTTGCGGGAAAAGTGATTCCGTAATTTTTTGGCGGGAAAAATTTACAAGGTTTTTTACAGGGTATTTATAAGGTTTTACAATGTATTTTAAAAGGTTTTACAACGTATTTATAAGATATTATAAGATTTTACAAGCTATTTTATAAGGTTTTACAAGTTATAAGATTTTACAAGTTTTTTATAAAATTTTATAAGTACCTTGTAAAACCTTTTAAAATACATTGTAAAACCTTACAAAACACTTGTAAATACTTCGTAAAACCTTTAAAATACCTTGTAAATTTTTCCCGCCAAAAATTTTCCCGCCAAAAAAATTGCGGAATCATTTTTCCCTCAAAAAAAAATTTTTGGCGGGAAAAATTTTTACGGGAAAATTTTACAAGGTATTTTAAAGGTTTTTTACAAGTGTTTTGGCGGGAAAATTGCGGGATCACTTTTCCCGCCAAAAAATATTTTGTATTTTGTAGACCTAATTTTGTTTCAAATAAGGGTAAAATGGTCATTAAAAATTAAAAGAGGGCAAATTTAGAAATTGACTCTCAAAGGGGGCATTTTTGAAAAGGGGTATTGAAAAAGGGGCATTTTTAACAATTTCTCCTAATTTAATAAACCGTTGACACATAAAAATTAAAATAAAATTTCCAATGGAGGTGTTATTATTACTAGACCGACCAAAGATTACTTACTTTATAAAGGTCAAGAGATGATCGATATACGTTGAACATTCACTCACATCTCACCTTCAATCAAGATCTTTGATATAATTAAATATTTGGGGTTCAACAAATTAAATATGAACGAGAGTTTTAATTCTTAAAAATCTTCAGTTTTCTTCAACAAACTAATAATAATATGCTAAAGTTACATGAGATGTCTAAAATGAAAAATGTGAAATAATTGTTTTGAAACGAAAAAAGAAAGATAAATTGATCATTGGTCGAATGTGCAATCATTAATAATTAAACATAATGTAATTTCCAATTGGAGCTAATAATTTATTAATTTGTGGGTGAGGAAGGTTCCAATAATAAAGATTTTCTCCGATTGAAAACTATAGTCCATATTTTAAGCCAACAAGAAAATGATAAAGTATAGTAGCCAAATAGACAAATAGCTCTTTAAGAGGTATTTGTAATATTTCTCATAGAACCAAAAACACTTGTTGAAGCCAAGGAAAAGCCACTTCATCGTCTGGATGGTAAGATCAGTTCTTCCTTTCTATCATCGGACGGTCCACATTTACTCCATTTTCCGGTCGCCGGCTTAAAGAAGGTTTTGGATTCAACAAGAGGGAATTTGGTTTTTAACGTTCAACAAATTTGCTTTAAACGTACGTTTCAAATTCAAGAAGAAGCTTTAAAGGTATATTATCAAATAAAGACCGTTGCTTTGATTTTACTTTAACGTTCTTTTCCTTTCAAATTTAAAGTTTCAGACTTTCTCTCATTCCGTGATCGTTATCTGTGAAAACTTTATTTTGAATTTCATTTTTGTTCCTACTCAACAAAAATTCCGGTGAAATTTTCAATAAAATTGCGATTTTTTTATCCTCGTTTGATCTGATTTTTGTGGTTCTTTTTCTGCTTTCTGCTTTCTTGCTTTATTGTTCTTTGGTCCTAAGAAATTTCACTATCCAAATACCTCCCGCTTTCAAATTTCTAAAGTTTCTTGATAATCACTACGAAGTCTTTTTTTTTTTTTTGTGTTATTTCTTCAGAAGAAACAGAACAAGAACAAAAAGGACAGACCTTTGAGGAGTTTTCAGATTAAAGATGGAGAATTTATCGAATCCAGATGAAAACGACGATGTGGGATATCATCAATCACCTAGATCCATTGACCAAAATGATCAATCAGCAGCAGAAACTCCGGTTTACTCGACGATGAGCATTGATTCCTTTGTTTATCCTCGAACTTGTTCAGAGAGCACTTCAGGTTTTTCAGACCAGATAGATGAAACCAACAGCTTCTGTAGTGAAGCTTCTCCTTGTAATTGGCCTGTCCTCACTGAATCTAAGAGCTCCAAATGTCTCTCTGGTTTAGAGATGCAATCAAATGAAAGTCTTGCAGTCCAAGAAATTTCAGAACCAGGTACTGTGTTTTCTCTCTGTTTTCTACTACTACTACTTTTTTAAATGTCTGATGTGTTCTAGGGTTTGTGCAGAACTTGAGACAATGAAGGAAAGATTCGCAAAGCTTCTACTTGGAGAAGACATGTCAGGGAGTGGTAAAGGAGTTTGCACTGCAGTGACGATCTCAAACGCAATTACCAATCTTTATGGTAAACACATTAAGCATCATTATATATGCTCGTGTTTCAGACAACTGTAAACGATTCTTCTTTGATGCATATAAATGTTTGCAGCTACAGTGTTTGGACAGAATCTGAGGTTAGAGCCGTTAGAAACAGAGAAGAGAGCAATGTGGAAGAGAGAGATGAATTGTCTCTTATCGGTATGCGATTACATAGTCGAATTCATCCCTAGATGTCAGAATCTAAGCAATGGAGCTACTGTTGAGGTAAGTAACTTGTCAAATATTTTCTCTGAAAGTTGAAAGAAGGAAAAAAATATGGAAAAATGAAAGTTTTCTTGGTGGATTCTTCAGGTGATGGAGAGTAGACCAAGAGCAGATATCTATATCAACTTACCTGCATTGAGAAAGCTAGATTCAATGCTTATGGTAATATATATTATCCGAAAAATGTATATGATTGTTCGGTCTGATTATGAATCATACATAATAACATCTGTTTTTTGATCCTTGTTTGTTACAGGAAGCATTGGATAGTTTCCAAAACACAGAGTTTTGGTATGCAGAAGAAGGAAGTTTGTCGATGAAATCAGCGCGTTCTTCGACTGGATCATTCAGGAAAGTTATAGTACAAAGGAAAGAAGAGAAATGGTGGTTACCAGTTCCTCTAGTGCCACCAGAAGGTTTGTCAGATAAAGCCAGAAAACAACTCAAAAACAAGAGAGAGAGTACCAATCAGATTCACAAAGCTGCAATGGCTATCAACAGTAGCATTCTCAGTGAAATGGAGATTCCAGAGTCTTACATGACAACTCTTCCAAAGGTTTTTGGTTTTTTGTTACCTTTATACGTACCTACTAGAATCTTGAAGATTCGGTTTTGATTCTCATTTTTGTATGTTCGATCTCTGCATGCAGTGTGGTAAAAGCAGTGTTGGAGATTCAATTTACCGTTACATGAGTGGTTCGGGTCGGTTTTTCCCAGAACAACTGTTAGATTGTCTGAACATAGCCTCTGAGCATGAAGCTGTTCAGTTAGCAGATAGAGTAGAAGCTTCTATGTACACATGGAGACGCAAAGCTTGTCTTAGTAACTCTAAGAGCTCATGGAACATGGTGAAAGATCTTATGTCAAATACAGAGAGAACAGACAAGAACTATGTTATGGCTGAGAGAGCAGAGACTCTCCTCTTCTGTTTGAAACAGCGTTATCCAGAATTGTCTCAGACATCATTAGATATATGCAAGATTCAGTACAATAAGGTAAAAACTGAAGATATGAAAAGTCATTGAAATTGATAGTAAACTATAATAATTACTTAAAAAAAAAAAAAGTGTTGTGTTTTTGGTTTGCAGGATGTTGGAAAAGCTGTGTTGGAGAGCTACTCAAGAGTACTTGAAGGTTTAGCTTTTAACATAGTTGCTTGGATTGATGATGTTCTCTATGTAGACAAAACCATGAGAGGTAGTGAATAAGTTGTACTTGGTAGACTTTTGATAAGATTTCTATGTTCCTGTTTCCCTCTCTTGTAAAGTAAAATCAGATCAAATGAAATGTAAGATCCTCGAAAAGATATCCAGAAACATGTATGATAGTAATCAGCTAAGTTTCCCCATTTAAGGCTATAAAAAGAGAGACAAGTGTTCATCAATGTAAAATTCAGGGGAATAATAATAATTTTTAGTGGATAAATAATAATGGAACAGGAAACTGAGACAATTAATTTTCGAATCCCCTATATATACAACAGGGTTCCGAACCAGCATGGGTCCGGGGGATATGACCAAAAAGCAAAAAGGGTTAGTAATTAAAATACAAAGATCTGAAGAAGCCACAACAGAGAGATCTTTCATTAAGACTTCCTTCTTCATGAGTCCCTCAATAAATGATAGTACAGTCTAAGGCACCCGAAGATCCAAGCTTTTTTGCTCCTTGCTTTTCCAGAGCTCTCATGATCATCAAAAACTATGAAACAGTAGAGTAATTCAACTGTCGTCGTCTACTGAACCAACATAAGTTAGATCAGTCCGTCTGACCCTAACTGCACCTCTCAGCCAACAGATGGCTCGAAGATTGGCCATGTCGCTGCTGTTTGAAGCGTTGCTGCTTGATAGACCTGAACTTGTCCCATCTTCGAGAAGCGTCCACGGGTCAACTACATCCGTGTTATCTGCTTCTTGTTGTTGAGGTGGTGCCAACATTGTCTGCTTCAGCTTCCCTTGCACTGCTGCAGTTCCAGTTTTCGATATGGCAGGGGAGTTTCTTTGATTGGGTCCAGCAGCAGCGGCAGATCCAGAGGGTTGAACAAGTGTGAGTGCGGTTGGCGGAACAGATTGAGGCTGGCACGAGAGAGAACAGCGTAGAGAAGGAAGGAGGATTGGCATCGCTGCTTGGATCCGCCATCTAATAGTGTCTGGTAACTGCATCCGCGAAAGCTCATTCTGCATTATTGACAAGCAAAAAAACAAAAAACTTCAAGAGTCGTAATTTTCAGCCAAGAAGGATTCGAAAGAATTTTATAGTTTTTTTGACAAACCTGTAAGCTCTCTACTGCATCGCGATCAAACAAGGTAAAGTCTTTGGATGATTCATTAGAGGAAGGCCTTGGCTTTAGCCATTTTGGCTGGTGATTGCTTAACAGCCCATGGAGTACAAACAGTAACCGGTCAAATAAGACTTCACTAGAGAGATCTGCCATGGAAGAAGGATCTATTGTTGATTCAGTTTCTGCCTTTGATACCTCAATACGAGGAGAGCAGACAGCACAATCTTCATAAACTACTCGGCTTCCAAGTAGACGGACTATTGTAGACGCAAGTGCATGTCTCGTGTTCCTAAATGAAGGTTCCCTGAAAAATGAATTGCCATACAAAACGATAACTCAGTCTTTAATTCGGTAACACTGGAAGAGCCTATGACTTTTCAACAAATCTTGTTAAACGGAATGAGGAAAAGAAGATGGAAGAGACTCAGTACCCGCAGATGACAGGCAGTAATCTTAGAAGAAATTGCAACCGCAAAGACATAGAAGCTCTCAAAGCAGCAGGGGAAGGCGGCGGCGCAGTGTCAGTAGTATTGGCTGAGGATCTTCTTGCCAAACTAGGGCTACCACCGCGAAGGCCCTTCCGGTTACTTCCTTTACTTGATGAAATCTCAGACCCAGAAGAAGCAGTTCCCATGTGCTTGTTGTTTGTAGTACTGCGGTTGGTAACTGAACTTAATTGCTGCTCAATACTGCTAAACTGTCTTACCAACTCATTCACAAAGGTACTTCGAGATTCATCAGAGCTTTGGTCTATGCATGGAAGCACTAGCTGAACAAAAGCCCTCTCAGTTGTAATCCCATAGCCAACACTGGGACTATTCTCCTCTACTGCCCGGGGTAATAATACCTTTTTTGAACCTGACCCTTCCTCAATCACTTCCCCTTCTTCAATAGAAGTAATTTCAAACTTCCTTTTCTTCCCTGCTTTGTTTGCTGTAATATGATCGGAAGTAGAGTTGTTGCACCAACCCCAAGGTTTCCAAAACTGAGGTTTCGTGGGAAGTCCTTTGCTTTCACCTACAATAATCAGTTTTTGTCTGATTGTTTTTCGTCCAAAAAGAACATCTTGGCCTGCTAGAATCCATTCAGCTTGCTTCAACATTGAATCCTCAACCGATCTACCGAACAGATGAACCACTTCTGAGAAAAGTGGGACCGCATCAGGTCTAACCAATAACCTTGTGAGGAGGATTTGAGTGAAATTTTTCTCATACTCAGAGGCAGCAGGCTCCTCAGAGGTAGGGCAGGAAGATCGTATTGCATCGGTCAAAGGCATATCGTGATTTTCGAGTTTCTCAGTAAGTGCTTGTTCGTTTAGAAGCAGCCTGAGTTCAACCCACTGCCAGTGAAATTTTGCAGGTTGCAGGGAATCTAATACAGATACAAGCTTGTCCACAAGCTTTGTTCCATTTCCCTGGTGTCGGGTTTTTGCTTCATTAACTCCTTCATGGGAATAACCAGAGGATGGCACCTTACAATCAATTATGGAATTGAAGAACAGACGTGCTCGAAGAGGAGCAAAGGCCACAGACTTCAAGTGCATATCCAAACCATGCGATTCAAATACCGATGCAAACTCAGCATCTGTGGAATCAGCAACTATCAGTTCATAAAGTCCCTGGGTGTCTCTCAAGCACACGTCTCGGAAAGGAAGGTGCTTAATAACATCATGGAAGGCCATTGTCAAAGACTGATAAAGGCGGTGAGTGTCTTCATGGACGCTGGAGTTAGAGTTACTATTCGAAACAAAAGGCCTCCATAGAACAAACGCAATAATTGAATAGGCTGGTGGGAAGACCAGTTTCAGCGGAAGCATACGCTGCATGCGTGATATAGCCACCACGGAAGATTCTCCCACAAGCTCCAAAACCAGCCCTTCCGAAACAGTTTTACAGTTACCAACAAGGAGTCTGAACCAATGTACATACACTTCAATAGGGCTTTCCGCTTTAGAGGCTCCCATGGACCTAGCACTGCCATTAGAACTCGATTTTGTACGCCTTACGAACTGAACGAAATCTAAGTACTCCTTTAGTCTCAGCAGACCAACAATCCTTTCAAGGGTTACAACACCACGTGTGATAGAACCTATAACAAGTGCAGATACAGCTGCAGTAATTTTTGTTCCTCTACTCAGCGCCATTTTTCCAGTACCGTTCGGCATATCATTTGTTGAATTGTTCGCATTTGAATCATAGGATTCAGGAGATAGCTGATGCTGACCTCGTGATCCCTTCCCCGGAGCAACAGCTCCAGCAAGAGCAGTGGAACTTTCTGTTGCAAGTGCTATTTCAAACACTCGGCTTTGACGCTCTCCAAGAGCTTCCTTAAGAAGGCACAGGCAGGTTATATGGATTTGTAAAATGTACCGTGCAATATTAGATGAATCGACGCCAGATGGATGATTCTGATAAATGTTTCCCAAGGAGAAATCTGAAATCCTTGCCATGGAAAGGCCTACGCTGTTTATAATCGCAGAAACCGCAGAAGAAACCAAAGAGGGATCACCCTCTTGAGCTGCACCACCAGTCTGTCTAATGCAGTCCATTAGTCCAACTACAATTTGCTGAGCCACCTGATACCCGTCATCATTTTTCTCAGCAAGTGAGGCTTTCATAGTACCTGTCCCAGTGAGTTTTCTGAGATAATGAGTCGCCTCTTCAACATGTCGTTGCACAACCTCTCGCATATTGAAACCCACTCTTGAAGGACGTGTACCGCCGATGCTGATTTTTTTTCGTATATAGTCATCTGGATTATCTACTCCTGCTGGAACCCCAAGGGGGTTCCCATACTCACCATTTCCTGATCGTGTATGATCTAGTTCAGAAAGAAGCCTCTTTTCGCATGTTGCTTTGAAATTGTTATGCCATTCCACAACACTGGGAAGACTTCCATATCTTTTTAAAATATAGCGAGCATAAACTAAGGCTGCTGATCCAGAAATTTTTCCATTACTAGGCATAAGTGACGCAACACGGTTCATCAAAGCTGTCATGGCCTCAGGAACAAGATCAGCTGAAAGTAGAATGTTTTCATACCTGAAAGAAATTGATGATACAAACCGATTAAATTTCTAGAAATATATTGTCAAAATATATATGACTAGTGTTTACTTATTGAAGGAAGTAAAACCCACCTCCTCAGTGATGATACTAGAATAGCCTCCCCTATTTCACACATGTTGTTTTCAACATTCCTTGGCACAGTTACAAGGTTTCTCCCACCCTGAACGGCAAAACTTGGGGTACTGTTGGCCTTTGGCAATAACCAAAGAAGAAATTTAACCACTGAAACCAAGTCAAGAGAGATATCCAAGAGAAATAATATGGAAGATAGCTCGTCTGCCCCAAGCTTCCACCTAATTGTGCTCTTCTCCTCAACTGGAGCACCTCTATTGAACTGCCCAACTCTCGCACTGCTCTTTTGGGGCTCTTCAACAAGTTGCCGAACCACAGTAGTAATCCAAACTGCAATAGACCGCTTATAAACAAACTGTAGATGCTTCAAAGAGTTTCCAACAGATACAATATCCACAGGGGTGGAAGTTCTAAACACATCAACCACCTTATGATTTTCTCCTTCCACTCCAGGGCCATGATGAGGACAGCTTACTTTATTATCACAAACATGACTCGTTGAAGCACCCTGGCTACCTTCAATTCTAGCAGCTTGTAGTTGAGCCAGCGACTGTGTCTTACGCGCCATCTTCTGCCTACCCCGTGGTACTTGTTTAGTTAACTCTATCTGAGGATCAACCTTCAGAGAAGACTCCAGAGTTTTCGATCCTTTCTTGATCCACCAGTTATCTTCTTCATCTGATGCAATTGGTGAATTCCCTTGATAGCAAGAGCTCTTTTCATCATTCATTTTTGGTCTTTTTGCTCTTCTACAGTCTTCACACCCTGGTGTAGCTTCTGGTTGATCCATCTTGCTATACACAGATCCACTTGATCTCTTAACACTATTTTGGAATTCCTCTTGCATTGGATTTTTCACACCACATGACATACCTGGAAACTGCAGTAGAGCTGATATGCGCTCTTTTAGTTCTCCAATATCCACACGAC